CTTTCCTTAATCACGAATTTCACTAGAAGCGAAAGCAATGCCGCTGGATCGCAATTCGCTTTTGGTGCTGACGCCGTAAAACTCTTATCAGGCACTTTCACGCTAAGCAAATGTGATTTTAGTGTTCAAGGGGTCAGCTTCCCTCTCATGACGGAATTTCAGCACACTTGGTATTTTGAGACGAGGTTGAACCTTCAAGCTGAGCTTCTGTGGTATTCATAGGGTGTTCAGTGAGTAAGAATCGCAGCGAAGTTTTCCTTAGGGATAAACAATCCAGTCAGATCTGCCTTGAATTCAGAAGGGTGGAGCAGTAAAGGGTAAGCAACATCGTTGTTCGTGATTGGGATAAGTTTTTCAGGTGGGAAAGATGGAGTCATTTGTTGCTGGAATGTTCCTAGCACTACTGGAGACCCGTATGAAGCATATGGTGAGTTCAGTATTGTAAATTACTGTTATGAAGTGGAATTGCTCGGACAGTAGTGTCATGGCTGTACGGACAGGACGGAGGGGGGGGGAGCTTTTGCAGACTCGTTAGTTTCCTTCACTTTACCCCGTCGTGCAGACCTATGTGGAAAAACTTCTAGAGTGAAACTGCTAAATGTAAAAGCTTCTCCGAGCTGGCCTTGTTATCGCATTGTGAAGGGCTGAACTACTGCGTTCTAGGCGAAGCACACCACGCTTTGTGGGGGTTAGGCCAAGTCCCTTCCACCACTGACGCCGACAACAATCGCCCGCCTCCAGCAACGGTGTCTGCTGCCTTTGAATCAATGTAAACTTGGGAAATTTCATGAATTTTCGGTGAGCCCACCCCTCGCTTCATAGTTTCATAGTAATTCTACTAATATAATCGGCTATGTCCGTGTGTGTGTGTGTCTGTCTGTTTGTCACGAAATTCATAGCACCTGAAGAAGAGCTTGGCGGGGTCGGGTCAGGGTGGGGATGGATAGAACATGGGACAAAACCTAAATAGCACTTATGACCCATGGTAAGCCCCGCCCACAGTGGGCGGGGCGTGCGTCCAAATTTAGCGATGTCATTAAAAGGTCATAACTCGGTCCCAGAGCAGTCGCCGTGATGAGGAAACAGTGCAGTAAAGTTAACAAAGGCTGACCGACCAAACATAGGGGACACACCCGAAATGGGCGGGGCGTGCTTGAGATGGGCGGCGCTTTCCATAAAGGTAGGTAACTCGGTTCCCGAAAATGTTTAGAGGTCGCAGAAAACTCCATGACGAAGATGAGAACAGTCTGCCAAGAGTCCACCATGTTCGCAGAGTACTAAGGCCCGCCCACAGTGGGCGGGGCGTGCACTGGAACCCGAGGTACCATTGTAAAAAAAACTGTAATTTGGTGCTAAAGCACTACAGATGGCGCAAAAAAAAGTGGATTATGGCCCCAAGTGATCACATGCAGGAATGTGCGAGGCATTCCCGAGCTGGTGGGGCGGAGCTCTGGCCCCAAGGGGTGGACCTAAACTAAAAAATTCGCTAAACCCGCTGAAGCAGCTTCTGAACACTCCAAGGAAAAGTAAGCTTTAAGGTTTATCGAGCGGTGGTCTCATAGTTGAGAAGCGAGGGGACCATTCGTATGTGCGGGGCCTGCCCAGTGGTGGAGGGCCAAAGTTGAAAATTCCAAACCGCTCTCCCGCAGGAAGCACTATACGACACCGGGAGACGGGCAAAAAGTGAGTAAGCGTCATCGTGGGGTCATAAGTTGAAAAGCGCAGAGGACTAGCGGTCGGTGGGCGGAGCCTGCCCAGGGTGGAGCCAAACTTAAAAAGTTCGCAAAACGCTTCCAGAGCACTCTAGACACCGGGAAAAAGTAGTTTAAGGTCATCGAGGGGTCATAAGTTGAGAAGCGCGAGGCATACATTGTGGGCGGGGCGTGCCCAGAGATGGGTAGAGCCAAATTTAAAAAATTCGCAAAACGGTTCCAAAGCACTACAGATTCCAGGAAAAAGCAGTTTAAGATCAGCGAGGGGTCACCGGTTCACAAGTGTCAGGCATACCTGTCGTGTGTGAGCGTGCGTCAAGGTGAGCGGGACCAGCCTTAAAAACTCCTCAAGCGGTTCCAGAGCACTCCAGGCACTCCAGACCTCTATGTGATACGGCCCGGCTTTGCGGGGCGTCGCGCTTACCTGCATTCGTATGATCAAATGCTCGACTAATACCCGGCTTTCTCTCTCATCTGCCCACTTCATCACAACGCTGCCGTGGCCACCGCTCCATTACTCCATTCACTGTAATAGTGTTGAAAGTAGCAGGTATGATGCTATTGGTCAAGGAATGTTGACCACCTGTTCAGGTTAAAGAAAAGCCTGATATTAGGTGGCTAATGAAATGAGTGGAATAAGGCAAGCGCGGCGGAGCCGCGCCTGCTCGACGAAGCCGTGCTGTATCTCAGAAGGAGGCGCGCCGGTGTCAGCCGGCGAAGCCGGCTGGTTTGAGGTATAATTTGAGGTTTCCACGTCGATGAGAACTAGGTAAGTGCTCCCCTCCTCCTCACTAGGTCGCACAACACCTTTCCTTTCATATTTTGAATGAAATTAAGATTACAGCGGGCATACGTAAATACATATGAGTGACCGTTCCAATGGTCGTTTGGGTTTTCCTCCTTTCCTGTCGTCCTAAAGATAAACAACAGGCAAGCTAATACCATACCTTACAGATCCTAAGGTGCTGAGTGAGCGCTTGCGTGGACACAGAGACGCAATTTGGTCAATTGCATATCACTCCTCGGATAATCGTCTCGTTTCTGCCTCTTCCGATGGCACAGTGAGGCTTTGGGAACCAGGTACATATGTGCGGTCGTTTTCAGTGAATGATTGTAATTCCTGGATGAATGATGAATTCCCAGCCTGAATTTTTCGTTTATTGAATCAGTAAGTGGGTACAGGGATGGCAATTTCGACTTTAGGTAACTTTGGAGAACCGCTACTACGGTCATTGGATGCTCCGTCAGCTGGGCTCATACCAACATCGGTAGACTTTGTTTCCACTGAGCCAAGCCAACTTCTTACCGCTTACACGTCACCGACAGCAACTATTACCGATATTGAAACGGGTGCCACCATCCTTTCATTTGATTTCGGAGAAGGTTCGTTTTTTCAAGAAACATTACCGTTTTCTCTAGAATTTAAATGATCCAGTCATCAT